TTATCCAAAGAGTCTGAATATTAAGGCCATCTCTCACCACCAGCACATATTGCCCCCAAAATACCTAATCACATAGGGATCAAACGAAAATAAAGAGGAATTAAGTTTCAGCAGAAGCAATTATCATTCTTAAAAGGTATTTTTGAAGATCCTAAACTGAAAAAAAAAGTTAATTTTAGCTGGCTATCGAGGGTTACAGGGACTCCCTAACATATAGAACTCCCAAAATGGAATGAGCCAGCTTGAAAGGTAGTGAGATCCCTCCCTCCCCCCACTATAATTCTTTAGTCAGAAGCTGGATTACCTGTCAAGAACTTTTCTTCAGGTCTGGGTTATACTATATGACCTGTGAGTTCTCATCCAATTCTGAGATTCTGTAATTTTTTGTGCAGCTTAGCTGCTCCTGTCCCCTTGCCGCTTGTGAAAACACAAATGAACTGCATTAAAGTCTCTACCATTACTAATATATTGAAATATAAGAATACTTTGAACTACTTACAATCCTCACCGTATAGAGTCCAGGCTAACCAAGGCAAAAGGCAGCAGCATATTAGTTACATATTCCTAGACAGCCCGTTGAAGGGCAGTATATATATTTACTAGTCTATTTCGCTGACTTCCCATAGGAGAGTGCTTTTTGTATATTAATTTAGATCTCCTAATTATCATGTAGAATTTTTGCTATAAATCTCCCCACTCATACACACACAGAAACCTTTAAAATCTGTCACTATGAAAAAACAACAACAAAATGGAATTCATATAGCTGGAGAGCTATATTTGAGAGCCTATTTGAGACCAGTAAATAGTGAACATTTCCCTAAAGTAAAGGAGGGAAGGATTAAAAGATGGAAAGTACCGTTACAACTGACCTTCATTATTTGAATTTTAAAATTGCAGTGTTAAAATAGCAGGCATTTGAATAACATTACCTTCATGGAACTTCCTTCGTTCAGATTTAATTAGTGAGTCATTCTGAAATGGAGGAAGGTGATATGCAGTAAAGCAATCTTCTGCAAATAGGCTAACCATTTCTTGGGGAATAGAAAGAAATTACAGGGGCTTTTTCTCCTTCTGCTAGGTTTAATTCTATTGCCCCTGCTTCTGAGCTGGGACAACTCATACTGTCACAGTCCTACTCACTTAGTCTTCCTAACTTTCCTTCTGTTTTCCTATCCCCTTATGTCTTCTTGTTCCTTTGTTTCCCTGAAGCCCAAAGTGGTCAGGGAATGGTGAAGTGTGGTCAGAGGTGGGAGTACAGTCTCAGGATCATTAACAGAAATGGCTACTGCTGCTCAATTACTAGATAGATGGATGGATGGATGGATGGATGGATGGATAGATAGATGATAGATAAACAGATAGATACAAAGATATATAGAAAAGGAGAGAGAGACGACAGACAGACAGACAGACAGACAGACAGACAGAGAGAAAGAGAGAGAGAGACATAGATAGATGTAGATCTTGGATAATCTTATTCTCTTGGAGCTGCAAAAGAGGGAAAAGAAAAGGGGAAGGGGGGGGGAGTCCAAAATGACTTGACCAGAATCAGTGAAAATCTTGAAATTCTACTGGAAAATGTGGAGTTCGTTGGTTGTTCTTGCTAGTTACTATACTTTTTCTGCCCATATTATTGTGGGTCCAAACACACACCACACCTGGAATCGTCTCTTTTCAAAGAAGGAAACCGTTGCATGCCATTTTCAGAATTCTGTGGGTCATTTGGTAGGACCACAGATAGTTGCTAGTGTGAGATAAAACCACTTAATGGGACAGGGTAGCAGCCAGAAGAATTACACAGATAGCTGTGATAGGAAGCAATGCTGGGAAAAGGAAAGCAGGGTGATCAAGAAGCACGGTGTTACAGAGGACAAAGTGGTGGCATTCTATCCAATTAAGCCAACCTAATGGATCAGTCAGCCCAAAGTTAGCAAATGTAACAATGATAGTGAGAGATCTTTCAGAGCAATGGCAGAAAGGTCAGACTTCACAGAGTTATCAGACAAAGCAATACCTATCAGTTCTAAGCAGGCACAACCCAGAATATCAACAAGACACCAAGCAAGGCCATCAGCCAGGCAGTCTGAGGTTAATCTATAGTCTTTTCAGTTGCAAGGATAGCACTGTCAGAACTGTTTCTTCAAACTAGTAGGTCTTGTGTTTTCTAAGGTGTTTTTCTTTCCCTTTAAATTCTCCACATAGCCCAGGATTATCTAGGTATCGTCACCCTCATAGTACAGTTCTGTGGACTCAAAGAGACAATCACCAGTTATTGCTATCTTAGATTACTTTAAGTTGAGAAATAGTAAAAAGGACAAGTCACAGACTACATTCTCCAGTCATTCACACATTGAACGACCATTTATTAAAAATATGTCTCATGCTATTACAGCTGCTGGGGATACAAATAAAAAAATAGCCTCTGGCCTTAAGGAACTTATAGTCTCTTTGAAGGAAATAACATGTACACTAACAAGTAAATTCAAAAACAAAAACAAAACAGATGCTATATGTATGTATATATGCATATATACACAAATGTATAAATTTTTACAAAAATGTATATATACATATATGTGTGTATATTATCTTTATTTATAGATACAGATATATATGGGTATGTATATATGTGTGAGTGTATATAAAATACCATTCAAAAGTAATTTCAGAACTTAACATAGTGCCTGGCACATAGCAAGTACTTAATAAATATTGAAAGGTTGATTAATTGAATTTCATGGGGGATGGCATTTGCCATCGGGTAGATCAAAAAGACTTCATGAAAGAGATGGCACCTGAGTTATGTCTTGAAAGAGTCTAAGGAGGAGAGATAAATAGGGAATACATTCCAGGCATGGGGATAGTTTATGGGGGGCAAAGGCTCAAAGACAGGGAAAAGAAAAAAAAAAACTAATGAGTATACAATATAGAGGATGCATGAGGAGAAAAGTGTTCAATAAACTTAAAAGGTAGATTGGAATCAGATTGCGAAGGGCTTTAAATGCCAAACAAAAGACTTATGCCTCATCATAGAAGAAACAAGGAACTACTAGCGCTTCTAGAGCAAAGGAATGATGGGGTCAAACCTGTGCTTTAGGAACATCCATTTGGCAATTGTGTGTTGTATGGGTTTAGAAGGGGAGAGTCATGTGACAAGGAGATGAATTATAGTGGAAAGAACATTGGTTTGGACACCAGAAGACCTTGATTTTAATTCAAGCTCTGACATTTGCTAGCTATAGAACTCTGGGAAAATGACTATCTCCCTGCACCAGATTTGGGGCTCGCTAGCAAAGACTGTATCCTCATAGAGGTCAACCAAATCAGACCCCTGGGGAAGAGAGAGGGGGGAAGTTGAAAGGTTACAGTCTAGCCTATTTGATCTAGGCTTTGAACTATTCAGCTTCCTTCCCTACAGCTAAGGGCTTCAGTCAGGCAGATAAAGGCATGAAAAACTTGCCTAGGAAAGTAAGAGTGGAAAGGAAGTCTATATATTGCAAGTTGATAAAAAAAAAATTTATGAAAACATTCAGTGGAAGCAGAGCATTGTACAAGTATCATGAAGAAATTTTTAAAAAACATACATGACAAGACCCTTTTAGATCATGTCAGAGAGCCTGAGTTCACCAAAAATAAGGATAAAATACCCAAATAAGTCATGTTTATGTGGTATTCTGTGATGCCGTAAATGTTTAAATATGTATGTTATTCTTCAGAATATATGCGTATGTGACACCTGCTATATCATGTTTCCTTTCATATGCATACATATACATATATTTGTTTATATGTGCATGTGTGTGATTTTGTTGGTCTAGGAAACTCCTGGAAGGTTTTAAATACCCTTAGGGCCCTGATGACTTGGAATCAACTACAACTTTTAACATGTACCATACGTATTAACCTGGGCAAGTCACTTAACTTCTCAGTGCTTCAAGTCTCTAGATATGTAAGTTGCAGAGCAGGTATTCACCTGCAGTGCTAGAGGGAGTTTCTTTGCCTGGAAGTTCTCTACACCATTGAAATCATAGGTCTAGTAAAAAGTTAAAACAAAAGCACAAATAGATGGTATAAATATATGCATGCATGCATGCATGCATACCTGTACATATATAAATACATTCTTGATGTGGCTACCTATCACAGCATAAAATAAGCAACAAGTATAGGTTTATGTAGTATTGACAGAATGTAAGAGAATCCCCCTGTGAATATAACTGTTAGTTTTCAGAATATTTCCAAACAGAATCATTCATCTACTTGCTGATCATTTCTACCCCCTCCATCCACTCTATTCATTAGTATGATTTTGGTCTCTTTGCATAAATCATATTTTATATATATATATATATATACATAATTATCTCCATATTATACACATATAAGTATATAATACTGTGTGCCCCAGTACATATATCTCCCTACTACAAGCATGTTGACAATTCTCCAATATCCTCTACCACAGAGGTGGATTAGGAGCTATTACAAAATATTCTTTTGCTGTTATTGATACGCAATTTTAATATGTCAATGGTAAGTAATGATAATCTGAGGCAGTTGTCATCCTTCTGTGCAAATTAAGTAAAATAACTTGTCTTCAATTCTAGATTTTCATTGTTCCTTTTCAAGGTGTGTAGAACGTTCTGTTTTCTATATGAATATGAAATATAGTTCCCATTTATCTTCTCTTAAACATTCACCATGGAGGGCAAGGGCTGGGGTAGGGTGAATAAAAAGATATTGCTGTGCTAATCTTCCTTTGAGCACCCAGATGAGATAAATCTTACCAATTTTGGAAGGCAACATATGATAGTGAAGAGACTACAGGACCGGTAATCAGGTTACGTATTCTAGTATGGAGTCTAAAACTGACTCAGGCAGGTCACTTCTCTCTAAGCCTCAGTTTTCTCATCTTTAAAATAAGGAGGTTGGGCTAGATCACTGCTAACGTCTCTCCTAGTGCTAATAGTCTGTGATTTGTTTGTTTTCATTCCTAGCTCTAATGGTAAGTCGGTCACGTGGGCTCAGAATGAGAAGAGCAGCCGTGGGCAGCACCTCTGGCAGAGACTGTCAGTCCACATCAACAAAAAAGAGAACCCCAACCAAACAGCTGTCATTAAGCCCTTCTCCAAGAGCACCGACAGCAGATTTGGCAGTACCACGTTCCCAGAATCTAGCACCAAGATGCTGTATGATGTTTCAGAAGTAGAAGAACACTACCCCACCCAGTATAGGCCACAGACTCCTTCTCCTGTCAGCACAGTGAGCCAGCCAGCAGGGTCCGTGGGCCGCACGGATGACGACATCCCATCCTTGCACTCAGAGCACGCCCAGAGGAGCAGCTCCTCCCAGGGTTCCCTGATGGAGCAGATCAGCAGCGTGGTGACCCGCTTCACGGCCAACATCAGTGAATTGAACTCCATGATGTTGTCAACAGCGTCCCCAGGCACCATGGTGGCCGCCCCTCTTTGCTCTTCCTACCTGATCCCTAAAGAGATGCAGCTTCCTACAACCATGACCACTTTTGCTGAAATACAGCCTCTCCCTTCCATTGAGGTAAATGGTGGGGCACAGCCAACCAGTAAAACCCCTCCAGGAGGAGGTGCTGGAAAAGAGAATGCACCTGAGACATCAGCTGTAGTCAAGCAAGATCTGGAGGAGTTGGTGGCTTTAACTCCTCCTTCCCCTTTTAGAGACTCCGTGGATTCAGGGAGCACTTCTCCTAACTCTCCAGTGTCTGAGTCAGCCCTCTGTATCCCATCATCTCCAAAATATGACACACTTATCATAAGAGATTACACTCAGAGCTCTTCTTCTTTGTGAATGTAATTTGAGACCACACTGGATCCTGACAGTGATGATCAGGCAGAGACAGAAGCAAGCCTTCAAGATCTCTAGTGTTTGCACAGAGGCAGTGACAGGCATTGGTCACCTGATTAATAACTGAGGTGGAAGGCAGACATCACATCAGTAATGGAAACATCAGATTTTTGTGCTATTAAAAAAATCTAGTGGCAGATTTTCTTCCAGTGGCCTTAGAAAACATGGGCTTTTAAGAAACACTGCTTCTACTTCTGACAGCTGATAAAGAGTCTGTTATAACAGTTACATACCAAGTGCTTTGCTTTAGGGTAACAATGAACTCTGTGTACAGTATGTGGAAAAAAAAGAATAGATTGTAAGCTACTATAAAAAAAAAGTTTTGTTTGTTTACTTTGATTCTTATCCCAGAAGTGATCTTTTATCAAGAATAGAAGAACAAATATGAATGTACATTTTCTAACAGACTCAAAATCTGGGACCAAAATGTCAGGCTTTCTCTCTCTCTCTCTCTCTCTCTCTCTCTCTCTCTCTCTCTCTC